GGGGGGGGGGGGAATAAGTATTCTGACTTTTATCCTGCTGGTGTCTCTCCTTGGCCAAACCCAACTGAGAGCCAGAAGGAAAGGCAGCTGAGTGGCTTCACTGAGTTCAGTCTACACAGGTCAGCCTTCCAGAAAATGGAGCAAGGGGAGAGTGGAATTAGAGGGGAGGCAGAATATCCAAGTGGAGCAATTTCTTTTGTCCCCCACCACCCACTCTTTAGATGAAAAACTCATGTCCCTATTGCTTAGTGGTTTCAGGATTTCAATTTGGGGTGATGAAAAAGTTTTGGAAATAGATTGTGGTGATGGGTGCACAACTTTGTGGAGGTGCTAAATGCCACTGATTGTTCACTTTAAAATGGTTCTTTCTATGTTAGGTGAGTTTCACCTTAATGTTTTAAAATGGAAAGAAAACGCTTATTTCCAACAGGGAACAGTTTCATCGGTACCACCTAGTCATATTCACCATACCCCTACCTTTCAGTCATACCCACCTTGAGCCTAGCTTAAAACATCAGTCAACACTAGGGCTCTTTCAGCAAGCCAGCAGGGGGAATCACAAAAGCCTGCCACGGCCCCCTTCTGTATCCGGTCACAGGGCTAAGTTAGCAGCCACACATCCTCCTCTGCCCCTTCTAGGTTCCTCTTACCAGCTGCCAGCACTTTAGCTGATTGGGTTCTTTATTTGGTGGGGAGACCTAAACCTTTATTTCTAGACAACTCAGGTTCTTACTGGTCTTAGGTTTGTCAGGTTGCCAAGTTTCCCGCTGACTGTCATTGGACTGGGAGATCTGAGAGGCACCCAGTAAATCCTGGATGCCAGACAGCCTTCCTGCCCACCCTCCATTTTCCTTCTGGTCATCCAGATTAGTCACCCTTTCTGGTACAGTTGACCCCCCTCTGCCTTTTGGTTCAGCAACATACAAGGCTCAAAATAACCAGCGGGAAGATCTTCCAGTTTAAAGAAATCACATGTGTTTCCTGGGGGAAGTATTCCTCCTTTGGGCACCAAAGGACTCCAGACCCACTGGACACAAAGTTGAGGGGATGGAAAGCAAGTTCTCCAGTAGGTTATTTGGAATAATAATGAAAGGAACCACTCCCGTCTCTACACCTTAGTCACTGGGCCTCTGTGTTCTGGCTGTGAGAGAGGTGGAGGCATATACTGGCCATTGCTTTAAAGCACGTACTGCATCCTGACCACCAATAACCTAACTTTGCAGGTGGTGTCTCTTAGCTGGCACTGACTATCCAGTCAACTGCTCTGAGTAACAGGTCACATTATAAGTCCAGTGCATTCTATGGGTGAAACCATTGCTGTATGCCAGGGGTGGGGAACCTTTTTTCTGCCAAGGGCCATTTGGATATTTTTAACATCATTCTTGGGCCATACAAAATTATCAACTTAAAAATTAATTATGAAAAAAGCTCCTAGATTTACTGAATTTCAAGTCCCGCCTGTGATTGCCTTGGCAGGGCCAGACATTCCCCACCCTAAAATGAAGATAGGCAATGTGCAGAGTGGCATGGTGATGAATCAGGCATTCTGGAAAGTCCAGAAATGATGGTGCAGAAGCATTGCAGGTAGGGAAGTCCATATCTGAAATACACATTTATTACCATGAGGTAAATATTCCTTTTATGAAGTAAGGGGTCAGTGTAGTCAACCTGCCAACAGATAGCTAGCAGGTCACCCTGAAGCAGTGCCTCCCAAATTTTTGGCCTCAGGAGTCCTTTACACTCTTACAAATTATTGAAAAATTACACTCAAAAATTACAAAGGGTTTCTGTTCATGTGGGTTATATCTGTTTTACTGGATTAGAAGTTAAAGCTTTGCTCAGCCATCGTGGCTCAGCGTTTGAGCATCAAACTAGGATCCAGAAGACTGAGGTTCAATTCCCGGTCAGAGCACATGCCCTGGTTGCAGGCTCGAACTCCAGTGGGGGGCATGCAGGAGGCAGCCAATCAATGACGACNCCCGGTCAGAGCACATGCCCTGGTTGCAGGCTCGAACTCCAGTGGGGGGCGTGCAGGAGGCAGCCAATCAATGACGACTCATTGATGTTTCTCTCTCTCTCTCTTCTTCTCCCTTCCTCTCTATGAAATCAATAAAGATATATTAAAAAAAAAAAATTGAAGCTTTAACTTGACTGGGTGGTGAACACACAGTACAATATACAGATGATGTATTTATTATAGAGTTGTACACCTGAAACCTACATAATTTTATTAACCAATGTAGCCCCAATAAATTCAATAAAAAAAGAAATTAAAGCTATAAAATTATTTAAAACTAACAATCCCACTTGAGATTAATATAAATATACCATTTTAAATGAAAAATAGCTTCAAAACAAAAATTGTGAGAATGGCATTCTTTGACATTTTTGCAAGTTTCTTTAGAATCTGGCTAAATAAAAGGCAGCTAGATTCTCAAATCTGCTTCAGCATTCAGGCTGTTGTACACATTTTGTGCAGCCTCTGGAAAATTCCACCCTATG